TTTTCTGCATCTCCTGAGCTGATCTCTTCTATTGTTTCCTTTTATTCTGTCAATAACGCAAAGTATACCGATTTCTGACACTAAGCCAACCTTGCATTCCGGAGAGTTTGCCATTGCTTGTTTTTCATTGCTACTATTTTCTGAGAAAAATTTTTTGCACCTATGTTCACAAAAGGTGTTGGTTTATAGGTATTTTTCTTGTATTTTTTTCAGGTTTTAGCATAAGGATTATCAATACTCAAATCTGCTTTATTAAAATCTTTACTACATGTGGCTTTGCTGTAAAGATAGTCCCCCCCGCCCCCGCTGTGGGAAAACTGCTCCAACAGTCAACAGGGTCAGGGAGAGCCGGGCGACAGCAAGCCACCCAGGAGCAGAGCGAGCTGGGGAGGTCTGTGGGCTATCACCCATCTTCTGGCCCCCCGGTCTGCAAGGAGCCTCACTCTTTCATGCTCTGGGCTCCTAAGAGGGCTGTGCTTTGCCTGACCTCCTGCCACCTGCCACACGGGCCCTCGCAGCAGAGGCTGCAGAAGCAGGAGCACTGGAACCCACGCTGTAAACAGCTGAGCAGAATCAATCGGGGACTGAAATCACACAGCAGCTTAGCATCTCTCCATGGAGACAATGTGGGCGGGTTCTAGGTTGTCGTAATGTCTGAGTGTTGGAAAAAAAGCACAAGTGTTTCAAGTACTTGGGGGTCTCCATTGAATCAGGGTGACCAACTCCACACGAGCAGATGCAGCCCTTAGATGGACGGTGGGGTCATTCATTCTGGAGGCGAGGAGCGTCTCTGGGGACGGGCAGATTTCATCACCTGCTGAACACCACTCCCTGCCCTACCTCCATAGCACTCTGTGATTTGAAACGATTTCACTTTCCTCTTTGGACTTTCTCCACTAGAATTAAACCCCATGGGGCAGGGACACACCTGTCCTGCTCAGTTACCTCCTGAGAGCCTAGAAGAGTGCCCGGCCCACGGTGGATGCTCAAGCCCTCGTTGGAAGAATGAATGAATGAATGAACTGGTGTATAAGATAGTAACTGCTGAGTCCTGTGGATGGATGTGCCTTTGAAAAGTGCCCAGTTCAATTCCCTTGGGGAAAACCTTGACTGAGTCCACTGACAGGGGCTGACTCGAGCTCCCCCCACTGCTAGAATCTTGGCACGTTTTAAATGCAGACCTCAGTTTTCCTGCGGTATATGGGTGGAAGAGTCCTCACCTTGCAGCCCTGGAGGATTGAGGAAACATGTCAAAGCGCTGGCACAGTTCTACACAGGCGTGACGTGTTGCTATGATTTTAACAGACTGTCCAGCAAGATGACCTGGTTGGGCCAGGACCCCGTGGTCACAGAGAAGGCTGCTTGCTGTCCCAGGTGGGACTTTTGTTTTTTTTTGCATTGAAAATGATCACACAGTTGGAATGCATTTTTAAAAAGGCTCCTTCTCTATAGAAGTTTTAACAGGAGATATCTAGGAGAAAAAACCATTTCTTTTGGAGTACTCGTTAATTGATATTAAAGCTTACTCACGAAAGGACTTACAACACAAGCCTGACAGTTGACAGGAATTGGGAAATTTACTTCTATTTTAATGCTGAAATGTAGTTCACACTGAATTCCTCCTCCTGGGTGAAATATCCTTCCCTCAATTTTTACAGGACTTTGTAATAAGGGCAGTTGTATGTGCTCATCAAAAATAGAAAGCGGCTGATGGAGTGGACATGTTCAGTGTAAATATTTAGTACAGGCGTTGGCGGCTTTTAAATTTGCATCTTGAGTTGAATGTATCTGCTGATTTTCCCATCTGCTAATATTTCCCCATCTGCTAAATACCTGCTACCGGGGGAAGAGGAGGCCTTTGTCATCCCTCTGCTTCACCTCCATGTCCCCTTCACCCGAACCTGGAAGCAGCACCGGCGTCCCGATGAGCAGACGACAGACATGCACGGACCCCGCTCTGCCCGCGGACAACAGCCCAGCCCAGGAGCCCCATCGGAGGGAACTCTGGGGTTTGCCTCTCCAGGGCCACTCCCAGCATCGCTCCAGCCGTGTGGAGCACAGAGCCGGGGGAGCAGCAGCTGCTCCGGGACACAAGGCCAGCCCTGGAGGAGAGGTGTGTCTGCGTAACATCCACCTCGGACAGCACGGCGAGGTGGCGAGGATGGCACGTCACCGACTCAAGGGGCCAAGAGACACCCAGAATGGGGAGCACTGGCCGCAAGAAGCCAGCAGGAAAACCAGGCCCAGACTGCATCCCTGCAGTCTCATCCAGCCCGGACCCTCCCTTCCCAGGGCCAGAAGGTTCTGGATGTGTCTTTGGTGCCCGGGAAAGGGCTTGAGCCTCAGCACGGAGCTCAGCGTCTCCACCCCCAGCCCCTGCACCATCTTGACTATGGGGAGGAGGGTTGCGTGGACCATGACCGTGGTTTGGGCACCCTGGGGCTTGAGCCCTAACACACACTCCCTCTCTCCCTGAGTGATGCAGGTGAGCTCACCAGCCTGCCTCCTCGGTGTCTATCATTTACCCCCCAACAGACTTCCCCTTTTTCCTCTTTAGACCCCAAGAAGCTGGAGAGCTCCAGCTGCTCAGCTCTGGGGGGGCCACTAGAACAGTCTGAGGGAGAAGGAAGCTGTGGTGTGGCTGCTGCCCCCACGGACAGGCCAACACCCCAGCGTCCACACATCGCGACACAGACCGGGGACAGAATGAAACGGCCCCAAAGAGCAAGAGTTCCATTTTATGCTTAAAATCAAGTCTGTCCCAGGAGGTCCCAACTGTGTAGACACTTGATTGATGGCGGCAAATAATGATTCTCAGTTTTGCTGGGAGCTTGCCTTCGTCGAAAGCCAGAGATGAATAAAATATACGAGAGCACATCAAATATAGTGCAAGGACAACATATACAAACAGTACATTAAGCATTATGGAAGACGATAAAGAGCTGGAAAAACAGATCCGAGTTAGCAGATGGGCTCCGATTCCGGGTCTGTCCGCGGAAATGGGGAGCGGAGGCACGGACTGCGCGTGGCCCTTCGGTCCTGGGAATAGTTCATTAGGTGGAAAAGCTGAACAGATTAATTTCCACCACCTCTCCCCTGCTAAATTCCCAGCTCCCGGGGAGGTGCTCGGCCACCGCAGCCCCTGCCCGCCAGGCCCCGGGCTTCCCTCCGCAGAGTGCAGTGTCAACAAAAATGCTACAGTGACATTTCTCTCCTGCTCTCAATTACATGTAGGCTTTTCACTGCCAGTATAAAATACATATTGTGCTCCAGCGAGATCCATTGTACCGGGGTCAGCGGGAACTCATTGTCCTTTTTGCTTTAGAACAAGACAATACTGACATCTGTAAGATTTGCTGTAAATAATCCGAGGGCTATAGGTACAGAGCAGTGGGCGAGGGGAAAGAGGGAGGGAAGGAGGTGCAGAGAGAGAGCAAGATGCTGAGCCGTGGACCGGATCTGAAGCCGGGAGACCCAGGCTTGTCTAGGGGAGGCCGCACTCAACGGTCGGCATCGTTTAGGGGGAGAGCGAGTATGTGGCAAGCGCTACGGGACGACTCGGGCAGAAACACCGAGTGCGGGCAGCCTTGGCCGCTGGGGCCGAATTCATCCCTGAGCGGCAGAGGCCCGGGCAGGGCTGGCTGTGCCCGTCCGCAGGCAGAGCCGCGAGCCCGGGAGCCACGCGTGGCCTCGAATCCCAGCAACGCGGGTGGCGGGAGCAGAGGATGGTGATGAAGTGCCATGGAGCCACTTCCCGGGCAGTTCAAATCAGTAAGCTAGGACCGGGTGGGGTCAAGCGGCACAAAGACTCGGGAAGCACGGGGGCCTACTGGGGGCCCACTGGGGGCCTCCGGAGTCGGTGTGCTGGGAAATCAAAAGCGTGTTTGATAACCAGAGAGCAGCTCTTTGCCAAAGGAGAGCTTTGTCATGGAAAAGAAGTTTGGCGACAGGCAGGGATGACAAAGGGCTACAAGGGCCGGGGGATGGTCCAGCCAAGCTTCCAGGCAGGCCCGCAGCCCCCGCACCGCTCCGTGTCAGCCCGCATGGGAGGCGCACCTGTGCACCCATGGGAGCCCACGCACCCCGGGACTCCGCGTGTGTGCGTGGCTGCGTGCAAGCAGCTGTACACGCATGTGCGTCCCGAGAGCTTGGAGGTGGAACAGATGGCTGGGGCCAGGGGGGCTCTGCTCAGTGACCGGCGCTGCTTCTCTGGCTGTGTGTGTGTGTGGGGGGGGGGCCGCGGGGCGCCCCCGAGTTGCCGGCAGCTCCAAGGGCGCTGCGGCGAATTCCTCTGCGCTCAGGACTTTTAACCTTCAAGACGAAATCTCTTCAGCCTGTGCCTTTTTTCCCTTTGGTCACATCCAGAAAAGTGAGCATGTGATTCCAATTTGAAATTAAAAGTCATGTCTGAATAACAGAACTGCATTCTCATTTCCTAATACCCTGGTTTTTACTACTTTGCATTCAACTGTGAAAAGTCTTTTAAAAACTCGGAACAGCAGTAAAACTTGAATGAATGTTTGACCCATTATTGCATAGCGGGTGCGCCTTCCAAGTAGGAGAGACTGCCAAGTTCTCCCCACCTAATATTTCCACTTTAATTGTGCCACTTGAGAAATTTACGTGCCTCAAAATATGGCATGAATCTTACGCTTATTGCAGTATCATTAGCAGCAACATTTAAGCAACATCTGTGTGCTATAGAACTAATTGAAGTAGCAGAAGTGGCAGCTGTAAATCCACAGGAAGATGGCAGTTTGTACCCAGCACTGCTGAGTTAGCTAGTAACTGTCAGCCTGTTCCTGCAATCTGGTCTCGAGCACCACGGTACAGGCACACAATGTCCAAAAAAATACAGCGAGTAGGCTAATGATCCTATTAACCACTTTGCTGCACCAATTTGGCTGTTTTTCCAGTTTCCTTGTTGAATTTCATTATAAATTTCTCCATTCCTGTAAAAAGTCCAGTGTGTGAGACGCGTCTGACTTTAAACTACTTACCTGAGCCGAGAAACGCCGGTCTGGCCAGACCAAACGGAGGATTGATTTTTTTTTTTTTTTTTGTTATTTAATCATTCTGGCTCCCCATCACTCCTTTCGATCGCTTAAATTTTTTTTTTTATCACACGCGTCTCTGTAAAAAAAAAAAAAACAACTTTAAGATCCCTAGTCATGTTGATATTTAAAGCAATGGCATTTTCTTCCCATGGACATAACATTTTCAATAATCAATACAAGATGGCAACCATAATTTATGACCGGTAGGGGGAGGAGGGCAGGGCAAGCGCGCTCGTGGTGTAAAGGGATCAGGCTGTCCGAGGGACTCGGGGGTCTGGGCTCCCCGTCGGCTCGCCAGGTTGACACACCAGGGCCGATGACTGACAGCCCAGCCACACGCTGGTTTGGACCCAAAAGGCATCGACTGTTTTCATTTCTTCGATATTAAGAAAAATGATACCGATTCTCCCCCATAGAAAGCCAGCGAGGTTGGGAGCGAGGAATTAATTACCCACATGCCTCTTTTTGCAGAAGCAGCGAGGGGGTCAGAGCCACTGTTTCTACTCAGGATACATCCTCCATCGAGCACAACTGGAAAAAAATATTTCTGACACTTCTTCGCAACCCAGCCCCATCTTGCTTTTAACCCTGGATTTGCTTGCTTTTGTCTTGGCAGCGAGTGGATGGTTCTCCCCCGGTGCCTGGCCCTTAGACAATGATGTAACTGGTATCTTTCGAAGCACTCAAGAGTGTTGGAAATACACAAAAGAAGACCTCCTTCAATATATGATGACTGGTGTGTTTGCCAACAACCCGACTTCATTAGAAAATTGGCACGTCCACCCAGCTGCCATGTGACACGCCGTTAACTGTGGACATTTGTTGTCTTAATGCTCAAGTACTCAGGGACTCGACTGATAAGGGAGAAAGTGTTTGGAATCTGCTGAACCCCACGCTTAGGGGGGCACGCCACCTCACGGTATTGAAAATCAATAGTCACGTGACGGCGGGGAGGTCAGAGGTCCCCAGAATTAACTTCCTAGTACTAAATTACTATCCCTCGTTTCTCGGCTTCTTTTCTAACAATGATACATTTTTAAGGGGGGCTGGTTAAAAACCACTCATGAACACAAAGCGAGAAAACCAGAACCACCGGCTGCCGGTTTCTACCCCCGCCCCCGCCCAGGAAGCATCAGGATGTTGAAGGCTCCGTCCATCTGCAACTCAGGTTCTTTTAAAATCTATTTCGTTTTGAGCGGTGGTGTTTTAACCGTCACGTGAAAGGACAGAAGCTGGCTTGGAAGCCGGCCGTATCTCGGACTCACCCCTTAGAGCAGCTGAGTGGTGACGTGGGTGCCATCCCTGCCCTAGGCCGGTGCTTGGGGAGGTCAGAGCACAGGCAGTGGAAGAGGGAGAGGAATATGCTCCCGGCAGATCATTTTAATTGAGAAATAAGCTCCAGGGCCCAACCACAGAGTCGCTTCTTCGGATGTCGCTTCCGAACGGGATTCTGGAGCCCAGGGGCCCCTCGGCCCGTCCCCACCCTTCTCCGTCAGAACGGGGGCTCGGCTCACCTTAACGCGTGGGAAAGGACACGTGGTCAAAACAGGGGAGCATTGTATCAGCTTTTTCCGAAAACTGTGCATCTTCTTTGATCCTACGGCCAAACTGCACAAGTGGGCAGTTTCTTGGAGTTCGGCGACGGCGCGGAGTCTGAAACCCTGCCCTGAACTCACCAGTCAGTGAAAGGTTCTGGACCAGCGTGCGGTTCTGGTCATTTGGAAATACTGGTTCCCTGAGTGAGGCGGATCTTCCAAATGTTGACACGTTTCATTACGTGATACTAAAAAGTCCTATTTGTTTGTATCACAGTCCCATTAGAAAAATCTATTCAGAAGCTGTAAAGCTCATAGTGATAGATATAAATTTTCAAAGATTTGTTCAAGACAAAATTTTAAAAAAGATTTGAGAGAGAGAGAGAGAGCGAGCACAAGCGGGGGTGGGGGCATGAAGAGAAGGGGCACAGGAAGGAGAGAAAAGCAGACTCCTCGCTGAGTGTGGAGCCTGATGTGGTGCTTGATCTCATGACCGTGAGATCCTGACCCGGAGGTCATGACCATGAGAACACAACCTGAGCCAAAATCAAGCATCAGGCACTTGATCAACTAAGCCACCCCAGGCGCGCCCTAAAAACAAATTTTTATCACTGGCAATAAATATGGTCATTTGTTCTCCTTGAAGGGACAGGTTTACTTCATTTATTTTTTTTATTTATTCTTAAGATTCTATTTATTTGAGAGAGAGAGAGAGAGAGAGAGAGAGAGAATGAGCAGGGGGAGAGGCAAAGGGAGACGTGGACTCCCTGCTGAGCAGGACCCTGGGATCATGACCTGAGCCAATGGCAGACACTTAATGGACTGGGCCACCCAGGCACCCCTACTTCATTCATTTTTGAGAAAATGCCTAGCAAACACACGTCTGAATGACCACTCTTGGTAAACTCATCTTTTAATGTTCCCCCAGGTGTGGTTTCCACCCACTGCCCATGTCCCCATGGTGCAGGTGCGGGGCGGGGAGGACTCTCCCAGTCTGCTGAACCAGAAGGAACCCCCTTCCACAACAGGAGTTCAAGGGTAGGGGGTTAATGTGAACCAGTTCTAGAGTCACTCACCACCCAAGAATCTGAGCAGAAAGGGGCACATGGCTGTGCTGAATCGTGGCCTCCAGTCACCTGCTTACAATGTTCAAGTTATGGGACATTTGATGCAAAGAAGCCAATGTGATAATACCTATGTTGTGAAATATTTAAGGACACTAGTGCCTCTACAATCCCGCCTAGGAAGTGGAACAATACGGGACCGTGTGGTTGAATATCTACATTTTCTACAGTTTTCCACCTTCCCATCTCTGCCCCAGAGGCAACAACTTAAATTTTGTATTTATCATTTCCTTGCCCTTGACAAGGTTCTAGGGATGTCTGGGTGGCTCAGTGGTTGAGTGTTTGCCTTTGGCTCAGGGCGTGATCCCCAGGTCCTGGGATCGAGTCCCGCATCGGATCCCCACAGGGAGCCTCCTTCTCCCTCTGCCTGTGTCTCTCTCTCTCTGGGTCTCTCATGAATAAATACATAAAAATTTTTTTAAAGAAAAGGTTGTATTATGTATGTGTGCATGTTTATATATGTGTATATGCATAGGTGATTGTGTATGTATATATTTCAAGCATTATATATCCGTCGAGGCTTGACTTTTATTGAGCACAGTAGTAGGAAGCCCTAGTCACAGCAGTCAGACAACAAAAAGAAATAAAAGGCATCCAAATTGGTAAGGAAGAAGTAAAACTCACTATTTGCAGAGGATATGATACTCTATATAGAAAACCCTAAAGACCACCAAAAAACTACTAGAACTGATATATGAATTCAGTAAAGTCACAGGACACAAAATCAAGCAGCAGAAAGTGAAATTAAGAAAACAATCCCATTTACAACTGCACCAAAAACAATAAAAATATTTTAGGAATAAGTTAACCAAAGAAGTGAAAGACCTGTACTCTGAAAACTATAAAACGCTGATGAAAGAAATTGAAGATGACACAAAGAAATGGAAAGACCTTTCGTGCTCATGGATGGGAAGAACAAATATTGTTAAAATGTCTACACCACCCACAGAAATCTACAGACTTGATGCGATTCCTACCAAAATACCAACAGCATGTTGAAATAAAGCTAGAGCAAATAATCCCCAGATTTGTATGTTCACAAAAGACTCATTAGCCAAGGCAATCTTGAAAAAGAAAAACAGAAGTAGATGTATCACAATCCCAGACTTTAAGTTAGATCATAAAGCTGTAGTCATCAAAACCGTATGGTACTGGCACAAAAATACAAACACAGGTCAATGGAACAGAATAGGAGCAGAGGAAAACCCACAATTATATGATCAATTAATCTTTGACAAATGAATATGCAATGGGAATGAGACCGTCTCTTCCACAAATGGTGCTGGAGAAACTGGACACGCTACATGCAGAAGAACGACACCGGACCACTTTCCTACACACACACACACACACACCAATAAACTCAAAATAGACACATCTCCCGAGGCAAGAGAAACAAAAGTGAAAATTAACTATTGATACTACATCAAAATAAAAAGCTTCTGTGCGGGAAAGGAAACAACCAACAAAACTAAAGAGCAATCTACGGAACGGGAGAAGATATTTGCAAGTAATGATTCTGATAAAGGGCCAGAACCCAAAATATATAAGAAACTCATACAATTCAATACCCCAAAACCAAATAATCCAACTAACAATGGGCAGAAGGCACGGACAGACATTTCTGCAAAGAGGACACACAGGTGCCAACAGACACGTCCCTCATCATGGGGGAAATGCAAAGCAAACTCACAGTGAGATACCACCTCACGCCTGTCAGGATGGCTGGAGTCACAGAAACAAGTGTTGGCGAGGATGTGGAGAACAGGACCCCCCCCCCCCTTACACTGCTGGTGGGAATGCAAACTGGTGCAGCTGCTGTGGAAAATGGCATAGAGTTTCCTCAAAAAGTTAAAAGAATTACTGTATGATCCAGCAACCACACTACTGGGTATTTACCCAAAGGATGCAGAGACACAAATTCACACGGGTACCTGCACCCCAGTGTTTACAGCAGCAGCGTCCCCAGCTGCCAGGATCTGGAAGCAGCCCTAGAGTCCATCCACGGATGGATGGATGAAGATGTGGCGTGTACGTAATGGACTATTGCTCAGCCATGGGAAAGGATGAAATCTTGCCCTCTGCAACAACATGGATGGATCTAGAGAGAACGAGGCTGAGTGAGAGAAGTCAGACATAGACAAATGCCGTATGAATTCCCTCCTATGTGGAGTTTAAGAAACAGAGGAGCAAAGGAAAAAAAAAAAAGAGAGAGGCACTAAGAAACAGACTCCTAACTCTAGAGGAGAAACTGTTGGTTGCCAGAGGGGAGGAGGTGGGGTTGGGGGAACAGGTGATGGGCGAAGGGCACGGGTGTCCTGACGGGCACTGGGTGACGTACAGAGCTGTCCGATCACTGTATCGTACACCTGATCCCGATACAGCACCGTACTTTAACTACACTGGAGCTGAATTAAAAAAAAAAAAAGCTTAATTAAAAAAGGCTTGTTTGGGACGCCTGGGTGGCTCAGTGGTTGAGCGCCTGCCTTCGGCTCAGGGTGTGACCCCGGGGTCCTGGGATCAAGTCCTAAATCGGGCTCCCTGCATGGAGCCTGCTTCTCCCTCTGCCTGTGTCTCTGCCTCTCTCTCTGGGTCTCTCATGAATAAATAAATAAAATCTTTTTTTTTTTTTTAAAGGCTGGTTTGTGATCTTTACAGAATTAGTGCAACCCCCTGCACTCTGCTTTGTTGACTTCTCACCCTGTATCTGGGACGCACCCACGTTACAGCACGAAGCTCTGTTCACTTTCAAAGCTGCACAATGTTCACTATTCATGCACTTGTTTTGTCGCTGGACCGGTGTTCAGACTGACTATGGTTTTCTCTCCGGCACCCAGGCCTGGTTTCTGGGTGCAAGTCAGAGTCCCCAGGGAGTGTGCGTGGCGAAGAGACGGCCGGGCTGGAACGCCACAGGGTAAAGCCACAGGACTGTCCAAAGTCACACACAGACTCAGAGCTCTTTTCAATATCTTCTAGAAGCTTTTCTTTGAATTCCTAGAGCATCAACCATAGTTGGCTCTTATTACGCATGGGCATTTGCGGGCTATTCTAGAACGCCAGTGGGATCAGGACAGATTCTGAGGCCTTGGGCTTTCCATATTCAAAGCTGGATTGTTTTGGGACATGACACTTATCTTTCCTGTGGGGGGAACTGCAGTATATCACAGGGTGTTGTGGGATCACAGCTGCCCACCTTGATGAAGGGTGCACCTGTCAGCGCTCTGCTGGTGACCGTGCTCTTTGAAGAGGCCGGAGAGGAAGAGGGCCTACAGCACAAACGGAGGGCCCGCCGCCTGCAAAGTGGGCTTCGTCAGACCATACACCAGGCATCGGAGGGCACCCAGAGGTCTCTCTCAAAAGGACAGACTTTCCAGAATGTTCTGACGATGCTCAGAAAGCAGGCTTTTCACATCCACTAGCCGCTGGTTCCTCTACTGTTTGGGCACAACTTTTTTTTTTTTTTTTTTTAAATACATTGAAAACAATTCTTTTCAGAAGTTTCTGCTCCTAGTTGGGCTCCTCTGAAGCAGATTCCTGCAGGGTTGGCCAAAGGCGTGGCCACCCCACGTGTGACTCAGGCTCTGCTGTTCCTGAAGCTGGCTCCACTCTGCTGACAGCAGGCGATGAGCCGCTGTCAGACGGTCGTCTCACTCTCACCTGGCATCACCCTCTGTAACTGCAGGCCTCCGGGGCCGTCTCGGGTTGTTTCTGGCCCCGGCAGTGGCTCTGCGAACGGGCTGCTGTGTTTTCCAGTCGTGAGGAGAGCTTCCAGGGGGTTCTTCCGATAATCATCATCTTGATCTTAAATGTAAATATTGTCACCGTGGTTTAAAGAGAGATTAATGGTTTGCTGACAGCTCCGTACGTCCTTAGGAAGAAACGTACCAAAGAGAACATCCAATCACCATCTTATTCCCAACCCCACCAGGGAACCACACCCACCGCTGGTTGAGTGCGTCTCCGGAGCTCGGGGCCGGTGCTGTCGGGTCTGGGGCTTGGACGTCTTTTCTGAGCAACTTACCGATTGAGAAGGAAGTTCAGCATGTATCCCATAATGAGGGAAAATAGTAGAAACTGCTAAATGCCAGCTCAGTGCCAGGTGTCTCACACGTCCGGCTCTGCTCTCTGCAGAAACTTCAAGGCAATGGCTTCAGCTCCTTTCCAGAGATGAGACAGTGGAGGATCAAACAGGTTTGGGGTGGCCCAGCCACTCACCCGCCGTGGTCGGCTAATCGTGTCACTGCCCGGAGCCCCAGGCCCTTGCGGCCCCACCTCTGTGCATCCCTGGGCTGCAAGTCACACCAGCCCGAGGTCGTGGGCAGCAAGACAAACCCACTGGGGCTAGTTCACCCGACCCTGTCCCACCTGCAGAGCAGCATAGGACGTGCTGCCAGCGGCCCTGGGGCGCGGGACAGTCCTCCCTCCTGCTTCGGCCTCGGCCTCAACCACACCTCCCTGATGAAGCCAGGCCCACAGCCCTGTCAGGGCCACGGCGCAAGCGTCAATACCGGGAGGACCCACCAATTATACTCCACATCTGAATTTCTTATATTTTCTAAGTGTTTTACACTAATTAGTTAGTCCTGTTAGCTCTAAGGATTAGTAGCTTCTCTAACAAGACACAGCGACGTTAAGTGACTTACCTAATTATGTAAAACACGGGATGCAGAGATGAGACGGCAGGCTTCTCTGTGGCGGGCTCGGGCCTGCTCTGCGGGGCGAGGTGCCCGCCCGCCCTCTGTGCTCATGGGTCCCCAGCAAGCAGGGGATGCAGTCCCCACCTCCGCAGGCCAGTGGGGCGCTAGCTGAGGTCCCCGTGCTCTCCTTGGGGCCTGGCTCCTCACGGATTACCTCCCCTGCCAGGAAGCGTGACCACTCCCTGCCCCATGTGGTGCTGCATGGTGTTCAACGACAAAGGAGGAATTCAGAGAAGCGCACCATCCTGAGGCAGGAAAGTGGAGGAAAAGCCGCAGGAGGATGCAGGTCTCGGCATACCCGGGGTGGGGGGGCTCCCACAGACTAGGGCAGGGGTCCTGGGGCCTCATCATCCCCCGTGGCACAAGGCTGAGGACTGCCACGCCCTGCTCTCCTGACTGGCTGCCATCGGGAACTTCACCCCAAATGGACCTCACACATGACCCCTCCACGGCGATGAGGGTGTCTGCCCCCCTCACCTGACTGTCACCACTGCCCTCCAGGCCCCCAGTTTCCTCCTGCAGGGCCAGTGCCACCCGGGCCACCACTGCTCTAAGTTGTCAAGTGCTCCTTGTACTTGAAAAGCCTTCCACATCCTGTCCAGCAATAACAGGTGCAGGGCATGCCCTGCCTCCTCCAGGAAGGGCCTCTTGATTTTCTAGTTCAGACCACCCTCTCTTCCATGACTGCGCCTACTCTGAGACAGCACGCCCCGAGCTATGTTTTTTTTTTTTTCCTCATATTGGTGTCACACAGCCTGTCTAGGTAGGGACCGCCTGCTGTTGCTCCCACGGGCTCACCCGGGGTCTCAGCCAACTGCCCTGCAGGGCGACAGCAGGTGCGACAGGTTGGGTGAAAATGGCACCATTCTTGAGGCTAACCTGCACTCGCCAGTGCTGCGCTTAAGACATCTGTCAGGGACCCTTCACCAGGTAAATACATGGCTTTTAGAATCAGAAATGTTAACATGTTTCTGCTGCAAATATTTGGGATGCACAGATAAACACAGAAGAGGAGGTGCGACCACTCATGATTTCTGCGTGCTGAGGCAAGCACTGTGGGACCTCGCTCTACAGACGGTCTGGTGGGACTTCGTCAAGATAAGAAGCTTCTGCACAGCGAAAGAAACAGTCCACAAAACTACAAGACAACCTGCAGAATGGGGGAAGAGATTTGCAAATGACACATCAGATCAAGGGCTAGGATCCAAGATCCATAAAGAACTTATCAAACTCAACAGCCAAGAAACAAACAGTCCAGTCATGAAATGGGCAGAAGACACGAACAGACATTTCACCGAGGAAGACACAGACACGGCCACCAAGCACATGGGAACGTGCCATGTGCACCAGGGAAATACAGTCAAAACCACGATGAGATCCCACCTCACCCCAGTGAGAATGGGGACAATTAACAAGACGGGAACCCACACATGTTGGAGAGGATGTGGGGAAAGGGGAGCCTCCTGCACTGCTGGTGGGAATGTGACCTGGCGCAGCCACGCTGGGAAACTGGGGGGAGGTTCCTCAAAGAGGTAAAAATAGACCCGCCCTACGACCCAGCAATTGCACTGCTGGGGATTTACCCCAAAGATACAGATGCAGTGAAATGCCGGGACACCCGCACCCCGATGTTTATAGCAGCAGCGTCCACAGTAGCCACACTGGGGAAGGAGCCTCGGTGTCCAGTGACAGATGATGGATCAAGAAGCTGTGGTCTGGGATCCCTGGGGGGCGCAGCGGTTTGGTGCCTGCCTTTGGCCCAGGGCGCGATCCTGGCGACCCGGGATCGAATCCCACGTCGGGCTCCCGGTGCACGGAGCCTGCTTCTCCCTCTGCCTGTGTCTCTGCCTCTCTCTCTCATTCGCTGTGACTATCATAAATAAATTAAAGAAAAAAAGAAGCTGTGGTCTATGTGGACAGTGGGATATTCCTCAGCCATTAGACACGACAAATACCCACCATTTGCTTCAACGTGGATGGACCTGGAGGGTGTGATGCTGAGCGAAGTAAGTCAATCAGAGAAGGACAAACATCACATGGTCTCACTCATACGGGGAATTTAAAAGATAATGAAAGGGAATAAAGGGGAAAGGAGGAAAAATGAGTGGGAAATATCAGTGAGGGAGACAGAACATGAGAGACCCCTAACTCTGGGAAACGAACAAGGGGTGGTGAAGGAGAGGTGGGCGGGGGGTGGGGGTGACTGGGTGGAGGGCAATGAGGGGGCACTTGACGGGATGAGCGCTGGGTGTTATATGTTGGCAAATCGAACTCCAATAAAAAAAAAAACATACATTTATAAAAGAAGGGAAAAACAAAGCCCTAAACCTTCCCGCAGCACGGCAGGACACAGACCCCCGGCTCGAGGGGCTCCAGGACGGAGCTCAAACACCGCACCGTCCCCCCCAGCATGCAGCCCCCGAGGCCACGGCAGCCGAGCTCAGAACCAGCGATGGACATGGGCGGAGTGAAGCCAGAGGCTCTGCGTTGGGAGTGGGGGGCTCTGAACACCCCCTGTGCAGCAGGGAGGGAGGTGGGAGACAAGAGGGGCAGAAGGGGCCCACAGTGAGCAATGAGCCGACTTGAGACTCCCCGGCCGGCTCAGGCCGAGCCCACGACAAGCTTCCATCCTTCCCTGAGAAAAGCTGTTCATCTACATCTGAGACCAATTTGCTTGAAACTACGGAATACCTGTCACATCGCTTCCCGGCGCAGGAGTCAGATGTTTGCATGGAAAAGAACCGACAGCTACATACCTCTTGGTGTTGTAATATTTAGACGTGTCATCCTGCATCTCGAAGAAAAGGCAGCTTTAAGTAAACGTGTGTTCTCAGCTCGGCATGAGGCGTCCGGGTCCGGAGACGGAGCGGGAGCCGGGTGCCCGGAGGGAACGGCGCCTTCAGCCTGGGCTGCAGTCGTGCGGAGCCCCGGATGCGCGTGTCTGGGAACTGGGGGACTCAGAACCTAGAGCTGGGGACACAGCGGGCCCCTCAGACAACGACCACGCACGTGTGTCCCGCGAGGGCAGCAGGTGGCTTGGCGGCTCTTCAGGGGTTACAGGCAGGAAAGAACGGGGCTCCCAAGGGTCGGGGGTCCCATGGGGTACGCAGAACATGAAACATGTGAGTCCTCTGCAGTCAGACTGGTCCTAACTCCCTCTCTCCTCGGGGAGAGAAAGGGAAAAGATTCAGCGACCGTCGGAGGAACACAGCACCCAGCTTCCTTCGGGGTCAGGACAGATTCAAAGTAACCGTCTGTGTTATACGTGATGTGATCTGTTATAAAACTACGCATAGTTTGTTTAAACAAGATCACAGAGTTTGGGACCGAATGTTCCCAGAGCCCACCTCTCTCACGGGGGCCTGGTGGTCCGCGGCCAGGGCTGGGCTGCACACCTGCTCCGCCGCACCTGCTGCTCTCCCGGCCGCGGGGCCCTGTGCACGGCCCCCCTCGCTGCGCACACGCTGTCTGGCCGGCACGTGCCCTTCTCCCTGGCCTCGGGGTGTCTGCACACAAACGCCGGCGAGGAGGCCCCGACGAGGACCCGGCTCCCGAGGCTGCCCGGCGGGCCAGGGTCTGGCCTGTGCCTGGCCCGTGCCCTGCGGAACTGGAGGGAGAAGCACGAGGCTCTCCGGCCGGCCCCCCAGCACCCCGGCCAGCCCTTCACGGAGCCGGGACCAGCTCGGGACCAGCTCGGGACGGTCGGGGTTTTAGAGTAACGTTCGTTCACGCTGTGTCCGGAAACCCGCTGGGAAGTACGTGATGCTGGGTGTGGGTGGGGATTTCTGGGTTCCCCGTCAGACACGTCCTCCGTCGCTGCGTGCTGGCGAGATTGTCCCAGGCCGGAGCCCCCCCCCCCCCCGTCCTCCAGGGCACCTGCACCCACTCCGCCAGCGGGTGACCTGCTGGAGACCTGCCCCGAGCCAAGCAAGCCCGGCTCCGCTCCCCCCGCCCCGTGGTTGCTCCCAGGTGTGCATAACGCGGTGAGTTAAACCGTTAAAACTGTGGGCAACAGAGCCCTTTACGGGGCCAAGGCCCTCTCGTTCCTCTGGGCACAGGCGTCTGCCCGCCGCATCCGGGCTCCGGCCTCAAAGCGCGGCTTTGCAGCATCTTATCAGAGCTGTGACCCTGCCGCCCCTCGCGCGTCCTCGGGTCCGTGACGGGGAACCAGCCTCAGACCAGGCCTCCCCTCGGATCCTGTGATCTTCCGCAAACAGACGTGAATCGATACCCCCCCGGCCCCCTGCAAACACCCTCTCGAACGGGGAACTCACTTTCTGAGGAACACGGGGTCCCCTTCGGCCTGGTTCCACCCCGTTGGCGGCCCAGGCCCATGGGCCACCAGGAGCCACATCCCTCCCGTGGAGTCCAGATGGGGATTCTGGACACTCGGAGAGGCCGGGGCCACGGGGGCGGGGGTGCCCACAGCACCAGG